ATAAACGATAAAAGCGCAGTCGTTTGCCAACAACAGTAACAATCAGAAGCGAGAGGAGTAGCCGCCCATTTACCCAAGCCATCCAAGTCTTACACTTAAAAAAAAACCTTAAGGCTTGAGATACAAACGGTAGTTAGCCTCTCCAAAGCGTTAAAGAAATATTTGCCCAAAAAAGTAGGCTACATTTTTTGAAACCGCAGTATCCTAGGAAATCCTTTGATTTTCCAAGTGTACACCTCAAACTAAACCAAACTCAACCAATCTGCCCAACACAGCCAAGCCCCAAGCCAGCCCCAAAAGGCTCCAAAGAGGCCTCCAACCCAAACTCCTTGCTTTTCCTGCCGACCGACACGCCGACCCACTCGCTGTTGCTTCGTCGCACTCGCTCGACAACGGTTGGTTCGTTCGTCGGTTGGCGCGCTCGTTGGTTTGTTGCTTCGACGTTCGACAAACGCGGGAGTTGACTGGGCGCCCAGCTTTTCCAGGAGGCGAGTCGTCCGGAAAATGTTATAATCGGAAATGTGCTCAACGTTCGAGAGGGAAAATGAGAATCAGAGCGAGACAGAGAGAAAGTGACAGAGAGAAAGAGAAATGTTTGGCGGGGTGAAAGGAGAGTGGCAGAGCGAGAGCTAAAGTTGAAAGTTAAATTGAATTGAGGTGGGCCAAGTGTGGCCTGGAGGGTTGAAGGCCCCTGGGGTCCCTTTGGGTGGTTTGTAACGCGCGGAGGCCGCCGGGGCGGGTGAGTGGGTGAGATAGGGGGACTGGAGTGAATGAATTTGTTGGGCCATCAAAATGACTTTCAGCATGTGGAAGCCGCTGCTTAGCATGTTTCCTGACAGGCCACGTGCGGATAGAGTGAACGAGAACGAGCCATCGAACGACAGAGACAGCGGTAGAGAGGGAGAGAGAAAGGGCATGAAAGAGATGGAGAAGGCCAGGACGAGAAAAGTGTCCTTCTCGTTCTGGCCTTGTTGAGGGGGGGTTTTCTGTGAAAATGAGGCGCAAATTTTGTGGCCGAGCAAACAGAAGAGGAACAAAAAAAGGGAAAAGGTTCAACAAATGGTTGCCAACCAAAAACCGAAACCCCCAAAAAAAATAACAGACCACCCACCACCCACTATTTAGTAATGATATGAGGGCTTAGAAAATAGGAGGGATATTTTAGGAGCAGATTTTTGGGTAGATATTATTTTAATTAAACTATAAATTATAGTAAAAATATTTTATAATTATATTTTATTATTATTTCTATTATTAAAATATTTAAAAATTTTTTTTCTTTTAGATTTTATGAGATTTTCCGAATCTCTAGTATAAATCCTTTCTGGGCTATTACTCCATCTGTTACTTATCGCTCTGTTAACTTATTTCTCCTTTAGGCCAATGTAATTTCTTGGTGGCCTGTGGAGTTGAACGGGTATCGGGTATCTCCTAGTTCAGCTCACTCGACTGGGCGCCCAGAAGCCTACAGAAAGCAACCCCCATAAAATCCGAGTGTACATTGTTCCACCCCTCTTTCGGGCTACCTATCTTCCTGCCCACTCCGGGCGATGCTTGAAAATTATGTCAACGAGTTCTGTTGATTTTCCCCATTTCGTTTGGCTTTTATTTCTGGCTCACCCCCCCAACCGTCCCTTTTTCCCCTTTTTTTTTGCCGTTTTTGTTGTTTTGGCTGCTCGGCTTTTTCCATTTCCCCATTTTACTCGCCTCTGGAGCCCGGCGTTGGTTAATTACATTTTACAAAATTTGCTGTCAAGTAGTTAAGTTGGGTTAAGTCGAGCAAGCACCGACCGCGCAGCCAGCGTCGCCGCTGACAGAGACATTTTCCGCCCTACACCCCCCCTATTTTTGTTGGTAATTAAATATTCGATTTTTGTAATTTTTATGCGCTGACCTTTTTGCATTTGCGGAATTTTCCTTTTTAATTATTTATGTGCGGTTGTTGGGGGGCTTTTTCTGTGTGCTGGGGGGCTACCAGGGTTTCCGGGAAGAGAGCCTGGGTGGGCGTGTCATCGTTTTTTCGTGTCCTCTGTTTTGTTTCTGGATCCGCAGATTAAAAGGAAAATCGTTTTGTATTTAATTATGCAGTCAGGTGATGGTAATTGGGGATTGTAATTCGGAATGTTTTCTGTCCGAGAGTGGGCCGAAATGTTTGCATAATGTTTACACGTCCTGCCAGCCTGGCTGCCTAGGGGATGGCCAGTTAAGGGCGTAGAAAAGGTAACCATAAAAAGAACTGTTGACCATTTCATAGAGCAGGCTGGAAAATATACATGAATACCGTCTATTTACACTAAACTGGTATATAAGTAAATCCCCACATTTTTTGGTTATCTTTCCCGAGTGTTTGGTGAGTGGAGAATTCAACAAAAATATTTTTAAAAGCTCAAGTCAGACGGAGGAAAAAATTGCATGCGCCCAGGGACAGGGACAAAGTGAGATGGAAGAGCTCCATGGCAGAGGAGAGGGCTTTTCAGGGGGGCTGGTGGGTGGATAAGGAGCATGAGAAGGACACGAAATAGGTATCTGAAGGGTGCCAGTTGACATGAAATTAAAATGCCCTTTCGGTCAAGGGGTTGGACTCGAGTTATTCGCGAGCTATGTTAAGAAGCTTTTGGTTTTATTTTTGACTAAAAAAAATGTTATGTTTATTTTTTATTGAAGCTTTAAATTGAATGGTAGTATCTTTTAAAACATGGTAGTATCCTTATTTCACGATAGAGTATAAAAAGCGACTCTTGCAAACGCAAAAGACAAGCAAGCAAAAAAGAGGAAAATTGTGGCGCAAAATGTTACGCTTGCATCGAAATGGAGGAGTATCAGAGTGTGGGGGCCGGGGGATTGTGGCAGGGGGCAGGATAACTGAGGATTGGGCTTTCGCAAAATGTGCAGAAACAAGGAGGACAAGAAGGAGGAGAGGGTGGCGAAAAAAAACTGAGAGAGACGGAGCTAACATGTTGGCTCCTACAATGACAGGAGCCTGCAACAGCCGGCGAAGGACGAAGTGTATGGGCGGGGAAGATGTGGCAGAAATAGGGTGCAGAATGGGGGAAATGGCGGCAAAGGCATTAAGCTGCGCCCTCACATGCACACTCACTCACAAACAACGGGGACATTATAGTCAGAATGCGAAGGATGCGTTTTCCATGAAATACACCCACCCACACACTTGCAGAAACACAGTGTTATATACACACACATACATAGCGACATACTTTCACACACACACAAACACCCACACAGGAAGAGGAACTTGGCAGGCAGCTTTGGTGTCCTTTCGACTACGTGAAGCTGTTAGCTTCAACCTGAAAAAAATAATAAAAAACACAATCAAATACAAGCTGGGCATAAAAATGTTCTAAAAAGGTATTAAAAAATAATGTTTACCACAAATTGAAATATTTAAAGGCCGAAAAATAATAAAAAATATATAAATTCTTAAACAAAAAATTATATATTTTATTAGCAATTGTTTGGCAAATAATTTTAGACTTTTGAGAATAAAAACATTAAACTTTCAAGAAACTTCCAAAAATGTTTTGAATTTTCTAACCTCTTTCCTAAAAGGATATATGTTTTAGTCCTGATACATCCTGACACCTACACACACACACACACGCAGACATATATATACACTGCAAAAAGGCAACATAACTGTAGTGAAAATGTCAAGAGAGAAAAGATATTAAAACGTATTTGACTTCTGTGAGTTTTGGATCAGAGGAGGCGACTGCAGAGGCGTGTGGGTGGGTGAATGTGGCAGGATGTGCGCCAGTGTGGCACAATGAAAAATATATAAAGAAGCCGCCACTCACACAAACATATCCTTACCCACCCACACACAGACAGACACACACGTACAGACCAAGCTTATGACAAAAATAATAAAAACGGCTCAAGAAAAGAAAATGGCAAAAAACGAAAGCAGCAAAAAAACGTCAGCAGCATGAGGAAAAATGTAAAAAAGCGAAAGAGAGAAAATACAAGTATAAAAATGAATTTTAGATGACAGGCAAAGCAGCTTGCTGGAAGAAGGACGAAGGATGGGGCGAGCGGACTCGGAGCGAGAGGCGAAGGTTTGTCTTTGCAGTTAAGCAGACAAGTAAATGTTGTCCTTGTTGTTGCCACTGTGTGCCATTCCGCCACCCAACCTCAGCCATCCCCATCCCTGCTGCCCCACTCTAGCTCCTAAGGGGGCGTGGCAGTAGCAGAAGCATTTGCAAGGAGCCAGCAGCAACACAAAAAACCGAAGAGGAAAAATTGTGGAAAAGTTTTATGGGCAACAGCAGCAAAAATTGCAATATACCCAAGGCGAGGGCAAAGGGGACGGGCTGGAGGTGGCGGCTCAGGATAGCAAGAAAGGATGGGGCAGGGCGGTTGGGAAGGGGGAGGATGCTTTTGATAGCTGTGGCACAGAGGATGCGGCAGTGACAAGGATGAAAAATCAGAGGAAAAGCAAGGAGAACTGGAAAAGAAAAAGTAGATGGGAAAGCAATTTAAAAAGGAAACTGCTCTCCAAGAACCAAGTAAATAGAATGTTGGGATTTATATTTATTTAAAAAAAAAAATCAAGTACTGCCTAAAAATAAATAATTAAAGATATAATTGGTATTCCATATTCCCAAAGCTGGACCAGAAACTTTCCCATCAGAATGTATTAGCTAAGAAGCTATAATATTTCATTCGACAGCTCCCAAAGGAAACAAACTGTCAGCATATGTTTCCCAGGATTTGTAGAATGCCCCAAAGACACAAAGGCCGCAAAGCCCCAAATTCGGAACTCGGAAGAGAACTAGGCAGGGATGGCAAGGCAGAGCGAGACAAGGCATAAAAAATAAATGAATAACATAAAAATAAATCATACGCCCCATCGGCCACCCAGTAAAAAGTGAGCCAATACCGTAACCATTACCCGCGCCTGCCAAATCGCACCCTGGCACTCTCGGCCACCCACTCCTGCCACAGCTGCCTCTTTCCCCGCCTAACCCCCTGCCATTTTCATGGCGCTAATAAATGCTTATCGAAGACGCATAAAGCGAGTAAATTCGCAGCCATTAAACGAGCATAAAACTCGATGGCAGCCCGAAACGAAATTGCGGGGCCGACAAATCAAAGTACAAGCCTCAGAGCCCCGGCTGCCCAGGCAGACCACCCATAACCCCAAGGGTCCCAGCCCCTCAGGATTCTTTGGCATGAAATAAAACCGGGCAACAATGAAACCCAAAGCGGCTCCCAAGCGACTTCGATGCGGGCATTCATCGGTCGAAACGAGGAACCCAAGCCATCCCAACCCCAAACCCAAAAACCGAAACCCCAGCCGGCCCTTCCTTTGCTATCCTCGTCACCTACACCTTCATATCCTTCAGAGGCCACCCCCTTTCCCGACCAAACACTCGCTATATAACCATCTTACCCAACGTTGACAGCATACAAAGTAACTTAAATCGAAACAATAAAGCGGCAACTTTGTTCCAAAAAAAAATGCAAAGAAAGCAAAGTGAACACAAAAAAAAAATGTGGAAGAAAGCAAAGTGAGCACAGAAACAGGAAAGGAAAGCTAACTTCGGGCGGAGCAGAAGTGGTATACCCTTGCGGTTAAGATTGGATATTTATCGCAAAAATCGCATATGGTAGGCCGATCCTTACTAGAATTTTATAAAACCAATTTATTAGAACACAAAACTTTATAAAAATGTCCCTCGGTTGCATGTTCAAAAGCCCTAAAGTTGGTATTTTTACCCAATATTCTAGAAATACATCCACAGTGATGGCTATATCTTCCCCAATTCTTATCCGATTCCCAATCGGAGTACTTGAAACGATTTTTGGATCTATTCGCCACCATTCTGCATAAAAATCCTGAAACCGTATGTTTTTTCGATTTTTTGTCCATTTTTCCTGATGGGATCCCTTGAAAATGGAGTTTTCCCCTATAGGGTCCACAGTGATGGCTATATCTTCCCCAACTCACATCGGATTCCCGAGCGGAATACCTTAAACGATTTCCGTATCTATTCGCCCCCATTCTACATCAAAATCCCGAAAGAGCATATTTTTTCGATTTTTTGTCCATTTTTTTCTGATGGGATCCGTTGAAAATGGGGTTTTCCCCTATAAGGACCACAGTGATGGCTGTATCTTCCCCAATTCTTATCGGATTCCAATACGGAGTACCTTAAACGAAATCTGGGTTAATTTGCTACCACTCTGGTAGATCAAAATCCTGAAACAAAATATTTTTTTTTGAATTTTTGTCCATTTTTTGTGATGGAAAATGGGTTTTCCCAGTTCGACTAGTTCGACTGGCGGATCGGAGATGTCTTCTTTTTCTTCTGCGTTGCAGACTTTTGACCAAAATTATAATACCCTCTGCAAGGGTATAAAAAAGGAAATATAAAGAAGTCGCGAAGGAGAAAAGTGCCCGAAAGAAATTGAGAATGAAAAGAGAGAGGGTAGAGGAGGAACAGGGAAAAGTAAAAAATGGAAAAAAGGAAATGTAGAAAAGCGCAAATAAATGAATGAATAAAAGCGCCATGGAGAACGAGGATACCGTGCAGACAGGATTGCGTTGGAGGGTGGGTGGCAGCCAGTGGGTGGCCCGCGGGAGGAGAGAAACAGAACCGAGTTCCACAAAGAAATTACAAAATGTATGCAACAAACAAAAAATGAAACTGGTGGCAAACGGGAGGTGCAGCAACGTTGGAAAAATATTAATAAATCCACGCCACTGTGGGACACGGATACCTTCCACTCGCTCGGCACACAGCAAAACAAAAAAAAATAGAAACACAACAAGGCCCTCTATCTGCAGGATTTCTTTTTTCCAGAGTACTACGCGGCGTATGAGCAATATGTGCCAGCAGAGCAGAGTGCAGTCGGCAAAAAACGTGCTAAAATTCTAGGGAAGCAAAAAATTCAAGAATGGCTAAATCAGATGGCTCTAACTAACCGTGAATTTAGATGAGCTAAAGTTTAAAAAGTCCTGATTTCCGCTTCACGTTAAACTTTCTTAAAATTCCTTGTAGTTTGTAATCTATTTAGTGAGATATTTATCCCCTCAATTGCTCTAAACTAATCATTCGCTTGTTCGCACATTCGCACGCCACCCACACATACCACACCACAGCACCACGCCCCGTGGACACCACCCCCGCACAGCCCTCTGCCTTGCCCAATTAAGCCACGACGACCCTTGGGAAGCCGCAACTTCCCGGACGGAGTTGCCACTCGAGCGACCACTAATCATAACGATAACACCTAATCAACCGCAACTTGGCGGCCCATCCAGCGATTTTGGAATCCGGATTCCGGAATCCCAATCGGAATCCGTAAACGAATTCAGGAGACGTCCCCTTCCCTGCCCCTCCATTCGCCGCCCACAAATCGAAAAACCGAAAAAAGGTTTCGGGCCAAAATTAAATGAAACGTTGATAAGGCACAAAAGGGCGCACTAAACGATTAAATCGAATGAGCGAGCAAATGAGAGAGTGTAGAGCAGCCACTCTCTGCACCCCGGGTGGCGGTTCAAATGGCTTTCCACCCGCCACCCAGCACCCTCCGCTCGGAAAAGCCAAAGGCAACCCAAACAGCTGACCTGTGTGGACTCGACGGAGGGCGGACGTGCCCGACTGACTTTCGGCACAAGTGCTCAGCGATGGCGAAAAGTGAATTTTCCGCTCAGCGCTTGCCTGGTTGCTGTTTGTCGACCAATGAGGGAGGTGGGGAGGAAAATTACCGGCTGAATAATTTTCAGAGCCGACTGCAGTCGGGCCAAGAATTATTTGGGAGAGCACGCAAGGCGAGCATTGAAAATATAGGGGCAACAGAAGTGAAAGAGGTTATTAGAGGTTTTCTTATTTTATAGACTGGGAACTATCTCTTTATTTATATTTTATTTTGTCAGAATTTCTATCTGCAAAGATCAGAAATTTCTATAATTTTTTATAATTATAGATAGATTTTTCATAATTAAAGATTATTACAAGTATAGATAATCATAATTTTTTTCTAAAATTTTAATTATAAAATCAAATTTTTGGACCTTTCCTAGTTATTCTTTATCCTTATTAGATAGGATAACCCACCATAATTGTGCCTCTTCAAACATACCCTTCATATACCCTATCCTGGTTCGACTTCGTCTCAGTTCGGTTCGCATCGGTTGGGGGCTTGTGTCTCGCTTGGAGTGCCTCGGTTCGATTGTTCGACCAAGTTCGCACGGACACAATGGCACTTACAGCTACTTGGTGTTCGGGTATATTCACAGTTTCACGTGCCATTGCGCATGATGGGAATGCCACTTGGTTTGTTGTTGCTCCGAACCGACTGCCATCGCTGCATGGATTCTGGTCGCCTGTTCCTCCGGGAGCGTGTTGCGTTCGTGTGTGACGTGCCGGGCGGACTTCAGACTGATTGAGATTGAGATGGAGATGGAAATGGCGATGGAATCAGCGATTGAGCTTAGGGTTAAGGGGGAATATCCTTTGGTTGGCACTCTAAGTGAGTCGCTGTCGGTTCGCTGCTATGTTCTCTGGTAATTGCAGGACCCCGGCCCTTTTGTGTGCCCACATTTGCTTAACTGGACTTGATTAGGTTTTCGAGGTTAGATACATTACGAATTATTCAGCGCCCGGCAGGAGGCCTTGACGACCACCGCCCACCGAACACCCAGCCAACCCCCCCAACATGTGAGATCCCAGCTCCGATCCAACCCCACTTGTTTGGGTTGTAAACGAATGTTCGGTCGTGGTTCTGGGTACTGTGTGTGTTCATTGAATTATTTCAACCGTGCCGAGCATTTATATACACTTAAAAAAATACTTTTAGGGTAAATGGGTGTCTAAATAGGGTAATCAAAAAGTTATACCATTTAAATAAATTTTATTGGTAAGTAGTTTTGCGAATTATCAGACTTACTTATGATATATCTTGAAGGGCAGTAGAAAGAATATAATCTTATAATACTATGAGATATCACTTGGAAGGTATAGTTAACAAAAAAACCTTACTCGCAATGTGCTAAATATACTCTATTTTTTTGAATAGTGTATTATTATTATTGGTTGCTTCTGTTCTGACATCCTCAGCTGGTATGTTTTTTTTTTGATTGTGTTGTAATTGCGTTAGGATGCGAACTTTGTTATCCCGGCCACGTAGCATATAATTGTGACCATTAATATTTTATTGGGCGGTGGTTGGTGTGTCTGTCAGTCAGTGGAACAATTATGCATTGTTTTGCCAAGACTACTTGGAGGAACACCCTCCCGCCCCATGAGGGAGATGAGGGAAAAGTTTAATTAATCGACGACTGATGCTCTTATTGTTTCGCAGAACTCTGTCAAAATATTTGACTTGTAGATGCGTCTTCAATTGAGTGGAGTCCCACACCACACCCACTCGGCCCTCCCCCTATAGAAGTACCCAAGAATAAGTTAATGCCCAAAGTGAAAGTTGTTTTTGACCAACTGCTGTTTTGGGTGGGCTCTTCTGGTTACTGCCCATCTGGCCGAATCTGCACGAAAATGATGTAAACCTAATTAAATTTCCAATAGAACAAACGACGCCCCTCGCCAAGACTCGACGGAGGCAGGAAACAACTTTGAGGATGGCAACCAGATAATTGCCAGATTGCGTCATGCGAGTGACTTTGGCCGACCAGGGCGGCCTTTCTCCATTATTCCACATCCTTCGCAGTTGAGAAGCTATCAACTTTAATGCTTTGGCCAAAAGGGGCAGTGACAGTGTCAAGGGGGGCGGGCCATCGTTCGACAGGAGACCTTTTGACCTGGGGGGAAATTGGCCAAGACAGATCAAAGAACTCCTTACTTGGAAACGCTAAAAATAGGTTCTCATTTTGGCAAGAAAAAAGTTTAATTTGTAGCTAGTAATTATTGGGTACTACTACTGCTATAGTCAAGCTATAGTCAATACTCTATCTTAAATGTAATTCTTTAAGTAATTGTATTATTTCAACAATAAAAGACTAGCTATTACCAAAGGAAATACACAAGTGGCCTATGCCCAAACAGAATCTCCCCAAATTAAATTCTATATACATTACGAGAAGCCACCAGTCAGTCACCTCCCCCAGAAAATAAAGCAAAATCCAAAGGCATCTAACAAGGCGAAAATTATCGAAATGACAAAACGAAAGTGAGTGAACCACCATCCGCCTGGCAGGGGGTATGGGTTTGGGGTATGGGCCATGACATTGTCAACGTCTTGGCTGCTATATTGATGATTTTCCACACTCCATCCCAGCCCAGAAACACACACACACACAGCAATATACACACACAAATTGAATTATCTCTAGGAGCAAATGTTTCTGCAGTTGGTGGGTGGGGTGTACTATAGGTCTTGGATCTTGGGTGTGTTTGCCCTCTGTTTGTGTATCTGGAAGAC